ATGCACCCACCAACTGGTTCAGCCCGCAGCCTGTTCCTGAATGGCTCTGGGGAAAGGAGAGCTGCTTGAAATAAAACAGTCTGCATCAAAGGGTTGCTGGGAGCCAGAGGTGAAGTGCTCCCGCAGCAAAGCATGGGCTCCCCATGGGAAAAGACAGCAACACTCTGGCGTTCAACGTGCTCGTTCCCACAGAGGCGTGTATACGGCATTAACGCCTCATCGCTGCTGCGCGCTGCACCCCGCGGAGCCTTCTCCCAGCTGAAGGCTGAGTCAGGGGAGACGCATCCGGCACTGCCTGGTAAGGAACGGCACGGGTTAGGGATGCTCCCACTCCTGCGCTGGAGAAACAGCTTTGAAGCCTTATTGCTCCCTGAAGCTTTCATCCCGTGGCATTGCCAAGGGTCACGGCCAGGTGACCTGCACACAGTCCCACCGAGACCTGGGAGCCCCAACGGCTTTTTGCAGGGGCTAAGAAACCGCAGCAGAGCTGGCACCATACGGGGGCAGGTGGACGCTTGGCCAGCGCAGGCAAGATCGTTACACCAGCTCCGTCCGCTGTCCGGTGTGGAGACCAATCCTCACTTCCAGCAGCCCACGTGTTGCAGAGGCTTGGCCAAACTACCCAACGTCAGCACTGAGCTCTCCCTGCCCTCGCTTTCCCCATCTCTTTTATTAAGGACAAAAGGATGCAGGACACCCAGCCTCAAGGTGTGCAGCTTCCTCCCAGAAACAGGGTCCTCAGGACTGGAACGCCCCGGATCTAAGGAGTAACGTTATTTGTTGACGGAGCAGCACGTCGCCACGCACTCCTCACCAGCGCCTTCCATCAACCCGGGGCTCAACATCAAACCTGCTCCATGTGCACCTTTCCACAGGAAAGACAAGGGAGGCTGGTAAAACAACATCGGCCCAGCGCTGCGCGTGGGAGGGTTTCAGCGTGTTACCCCACGGCACCCTCGGAGAAGCAACATTAACATGCAGCTTTACAGCGAGAAAGGCAACATCTGCCCCAGCACTTCCTCCTCTGCTCAGCATTCCCTGCTTCCCAAGGTCCCTCTCGCAAACATCCTCATTTCCTAACAGAGAACGCTGCTGCTCCTCTTAGAATCAGGACTATGGGGGTTTTTTTTAATCACAGCTCTCCACCACACTTTGCAAGCCAAGCATTCCAGAGTTCGGACCGTCTAAGCGTCGTACCGCGATGAAACTTCCCTCAGGAAACAACCCCGCTGGGCTATCAGCCCCTGGAGGGCCGATGCCAGGAATATTTGGGATGCGTCTTAACAGGGATTTGCCTGAAGATAGGTGCAAGTGTCACCTTCCAGAAGCTGCAGTCAAAATCCACCATAAAGAATCGATCCCGAGTGCTCGGCCGCCTGTGCCGAAGCACGTGACTGAACCGGCTTTGATTCCCGAGGTATTTATGGTGCAGGCCCAATACAATTTCTCGAAGGTAAAATCTAATACCCCAATTCAATGCTGGGATCCAATCTGCAGCCTCTGTCATTTGTCCCTCTTTCGGGTCACCCTACCCGAGGGCACCGTCCAAGAAACAGCTTTGCACTGAGAATCCGCTCCGGCATCAGCTATCTGAAATGTGGAGTTTGAACATGAAGACTCCTGCCCCGAGTCGTTGTGACAAGCCAACAGACGGCGTTTTCTAGGACAGCATCTGTTCTTTCCCGCAGAGCCTGAATAATTTAGCCGGAACGTGGACATTCCGGTGGAAGCAAGGAGCCAGGGTTTAAGGAGAAGCAGGACACACGGGTGTTCCCTATTCAGTGTTTCCTCCTCCCTCCTCTGCCCCTCTCCACTCTGCCCTGTCGGGAGCTGCTCACATCACCACCACGGAAGGTGAACTCTCTCTCAGTCTCCTGAAACAGCGAGCCAACGGCCACCGCTCCTCCGTCATGAGGGGAGGAATTGGTGTCCGAGGTCAAGGAAGGAAAACGGAGGAGGAATGAGAGATCGTGAGCTTTACAGGCTGTTGGCTTTGGGTGTCCTGGAAGTTAAACCACAGGCAAGTTATTTCCCTTCATGAAACAGGAAGGTTACAAGCGGTAAGTAAACACCAACATCGTTAGCCAAGTACTGCCCCAGGTGCTCCATGGCTTCCAAGCCTTTCGGATCCGGCCATCTGCATGGGAAGCACTCAAGGACTGCTCGAGGCCTGTCTCCTTCTATGCCCTCTTATCCATGAATTTGAACATCTCCAGCAGCTCCCCCTTTCCCTCCAACCCCGTTTCTTAAGACCCACAGGCAGGGCAGGCTCTAAGCACAAGCCACCACGCTCCCCAAATCCACTTCCCCGCCACCCGGATCCCTTCCCGCCGCGGGCGCAGGTGGACAGCCGAGTGGCAGGAACAGCTTGCCACCACCCAGTGCTTTGGCTCCGCTCGCTCCCAGAAGCTGTGCCAGCGGCTGCCTCCACCTGAGGAGCGGTTCCGGCCTTTTTACCCCTGCAGATCCATTCAGGATGTCTCCTACGGCCACACAGCAGCCACGGCTCTGACTGCTCCAGCGTCCAACAGCTGCAGCGTGAGGAGCTTGCGCTATTCCGGAGTCTCAGCCTTAGTTTTTACCCCCGCAGATCCATTCGGGATGTCTCCTACGGTCGCACAGCAGCCACGGCTCCGACTGCTCCAGCTGCAGCGTGAGGAGCTTGCGTTATTCCGGAGTCTCAGCCTTGGTTTAGTATCGGCCAGCAGGAAAGGTCAGCAGGATCTGCAAGTACCACAAAAGACTCAGCACAGCTACGCGTTCCCAAAAGCCAGCACGTTCCAAGTGGCCGAAAAGGCAGGGAGAGGTCCCCGTGGGTTTGGGAAGGACACAGCGGGAGGAGAGAGGGATTTAAGCCAGCCCGTGAATAAAGAGAAGGAACCACCTGGAAGTTAAAGTGTTTATTGATGTGTTTAAACTTTGTACATTCCCCACAGACCACACGAAGGAGTTTGCAGGTAAATCTGTGCATAGTGGGAAGAGACACGGAAGGAGGGAGGAAAAATAAAAGTCACGGGGAAAAAAAAAATAGAAAAAAAAAATACACCACAGGTTACCAGAACCTCCAGATTTAAAAAAGCTGTGAGCATTAACACCAACTATACAAGCATTACAAAGACATGATGGTGAGCGGAACAACACCCCTTCTCTTCTTCTCGGGGGCCTATGCATCCAATCTCCCTTAAAGCAGGCAGGATCCCTTTCCCAAGGCGTCCCTCTCTTCCCTCCCCAGTTCAAGCGAAGCCCAGGTGCACCAGCTCCCCCGGCGCTGCCGGCCGCAGTCAGCGGTCACAGCCGGGCGACCCACGGCCCAGCGTCACCAGAAGGGACGCGGGGGCTCCGAACCCTGCGTCTCCGGACTACTTACCGCGCTGGTGAGGCAGGAGAGCTGGGGGAATTAGGGAGTAGTAGCGGGAGGGGGCTGTTAATGCCAGGTGAGTACTGAAGGAAACCGGTTCAGACAGAGGATTTCAATTCAACACCAGGAACTTCCAAGTCTAGAACTGAATCTGGAAGGGGAATGTGCAAACCCCAGTATGCACAAACCATGTTCTAACATTCCGCGGGAATAACTATCGACAGAGATGCTAGAAGCCTTTTAACTCCTTGCCTCCAGGGAGCCTGGATTCCTAGAGCCCAAACCGCCAGGCAGCAGGGCACACACATTGGCGTATGAGGATGGGGTGGGTGTTCTGGGTGTTTTTCTTCATTTTTTTTGTTTCTTTTTCTTTTTTTTTTCCTCATTATAAGAATTTTTGTTAGTTACCATTCCCAACTGCTTCCTTGCTTATGCTGCTGTCACAGTTCCTATTCCTAAATTAATCTCTTTGCAACTCCCAGCGAACTTCACTTTAAAAAAAAATAAAGGAAAATAAAGAATACTGCTTTATATATAAAAGCCAAAATGACTGAAGAGCCACAACTGTCTCCTTTTTACAAGGCAGGCTGCTACAAATGACCCTCAATATACAGGTGGTCTATCAGAAATAAAAATCAACATTTCCCATTTTATATATATAGAGCTTGTATCAGACAACAGTACAACGGAACTGGTGTTTTTCAGATTATTTAAAAAAAAAAAACCAAAACAAAACAAAAGAAAACTACATCTCAGTCAAATATCTGCAATAGATCCATTTTCCCATTTAAGGAGATTTATATATCATATTGTTATATTATCATTTCTTCACCCATTTAAAAGAATGGAAATTGCAACTCTACAGTAGTAATTATAGTCTTAATGATCCAGGAGTTCTGAATGTAAGATGAAGTCCTCTCGAAGCAACTGTTGGTCAGTAGTCGATCCAAAACGCTGGACCCCTTTGGCCCTCTGCCCTGCTCCCCTTCCCAGTCAGGGCTGTCGTTCTTCATCTCTTTTATATCTGCATCTGCTCCAGGTATTTGTAAGTGGGGTTCTCGTAGCCATGGTTTTGCATCTTGCTCAGATGCCGCTCTTCTGGGGTAAGCATCGGGTCAACCTGCAGAAGCAGCAGACAGGTCCTGGTCAGAGGAGGTACTTGCAGGCCTGATTTCATCCCACCGCCAGCCGGCAGACCACCGCTGGAAATACCACGGGGCAAGCAGTACGCGGGGAAAAAAAGGTAAGCCCCAAAAAAGTAACGTGCTTAACAGAGACCCTTGTTGGGGATGTTCTCCGCACGTCTCTAAGAAGTTATCTGACATCACGAATCTGGGACCCGCTTCCCTCCTTAAAGAGGTGCCGGCTGGGCAAAGGGGAGAAGCAGCTTTCTCCAGCCTCCATCAAGTCGCCGTCGGAAACACGCAGGTCAGGAGCGGAAGGAAGGAGGAGGATCCACCTCTCAGCGCTCAGCCGGCTGCGCTGCCTTTATCGTTGTTACATTAGTGGAGAGGACAAATGGCTACACCTCAGCTGACTTACTCCCCTCCGAAAGATGAGCCTGAAAAGCTCATTTACTGCTACATCCTATCCCAAGCTGAACGGGGAAGCCTAATTAACTCCTCAGGACAACCAAACAGGGAAGCTTAATTAACTCCTTAGGATAAGCAATACAACTGTGAAGTGACAGGTCCCCACGCCACGCCGACACCTGCACAGTAATAACGAAGCGCCGAAGACCTCAGCATCTGCAGAGAGAAGTCCCACCTATCTAAGAGCAGAGCCATCGAGGGCTTGCCAGCTCCTGCCACCGTCGCTCCCCTACACACAGGGGGTGATTCAACGCTATTTTCATCCTGCGTTAGGGAGGAGCAGGAGTTGTTTCTCACCTCCACAATTCCATGGCTGATGGTCCCATACTGCCTCTTCCTCAGCATCACCAAGCTGATGACTATAACGGTAGCTATGGCGACGGCAATCACCAACAGCCCGATAAGGGCGCTGCTGCTGAAACTGAAGTCATCCCGAAGGGAGTTGTCATTATCCTGAAGGGAAGAAAACAACGGAGCGGGTAGAGGAAAAGCGAGAAGGCAGACGCACTGCTAAACGCGCAGGTAGAAGGCAGCCACGGCTAAGGTCTTCTGTGGTATCCAGACAGGACTGATCACACTCGCCAGCGTAAATATTTCACCTCTCAGTACTTCACCAAAAGGACAACCAACACCATCATTTCCCTGCTTGGGCATTCTGGACATGCACCGACCCACTCCGCTTCCCCACCCCACCAAACACTCCCACAGTGTCAGGTCAGCACCTGCACGTGTTGACCATTTCCATCTTTAGGCAGCAATGCCTTACGCTCCACGGGACCCCAGAGCAGTCCCCACATGCCTAGAATTCGGTAACGCGCAGGAACCGAAACCCAGCTTTGGGAATTGGCTGACCGCCGGCCTAGCCTCGCTAGCCACGTACGTACCGGCTCGTCCACCAGCCCACCGACACGCTCTGCGTTGAAAATCATTTCCTTCACATCCAGGGTTTCATCAATTACCTGCAAACGGTCACAAAAGGGTTTTATGAAAGGAGCCGTTAGGAGAAGGAATACGAAGATGGACAAGAGACCTTTAATGAACACCAGCAAAGGCTCAGAACCACCCACCATCCTTCCCCTGCTCTCGGCAGCGTGGGATGTCCTCCGAATTTTAAAGCCAGCTGAGTCAGTGCAACCATTTGGACACCCAGACCACCTCAAACTGCAGCCCCAATTTACAAACCAGGCACTTGGCGAGCCCTTTCTTGCCGTGAAAAATAGGTGGGAAGGCAGATGGAACACAGCAGCACTCGGTGCCTTCAGACAGCGAGCTACCTACCTAAAACCAAGGCGTATCAAAGGGTCTCTGCTTGGGCAAGCAGCTACTACATCCGACACTTCTCCAGCTCCGACTGCCAAAGATCTGGATCTCCCTCCTTCCTTCCCTCACCCTCCCACCCTTCTGATGCTAATCAGTATTAAGAGCCCACAATAGTCAGAAAAACTGACTCCCCCACACCATATGGATCATGAATACAGTGACATTCTGCAAGCAGGAAGGAGACAAGGAAATCAGTCGCTGCTATTAATTAGTGCCCGTGGCGGGCTTGGCTTTACAAAATAAAGGCAGAGGGCTCACCACATTTTCATCCACTTTGTTCTTGCTGTTAATCACTTTTTCTTCAGCGCCAATCAGCCCATCCAACTCGGTCATGCCAGAACCTGCACCGAAAAGAGCAAGGCAGGGAGCGTTAGTCAGCCCTCGGTGACACTTCGGAAGGGTTCCCTACCCTGAGCAGAGCTGCCACGGCTAGCGTGTTTTACCCGCACGGAGCGCTGAATGTTAACCTGCCGTCATGCTGTTGTGTCAGAAGGGGAGCTCAGAAGCTATGCTACAGTGACAAGTGACTGGGGGGGTCTGTTAATGGGGAGAAATGAGGTGGCAATGAGAGGTGCAGACAAGACTCACCAAAAAACAGGTTGAAGTGTAAATCCAGAAATACAACCTCGTTAAGCGCTGCTGTTAGGGTCCAAGGCAACGCGTAAACACAAACTGCGAGCACGCAGATGCTTTCCGCAAAGGTCACCACCTCCTCACCGTGACCCCCGTGACGGAAGAGCACGTCTCCTCTCTGCCAGTGCGCAGGGAACGCTTTCAACCGTGCCATCCTTCAGAAACCAAGGGCCTCCGCGAGCACCCCGGGAACCAGGATTTCAAGGTCACCCAGCTCTGTAATGAGCTGCTGTCCCCTATCCAGCACCAGCCCAGAAACAATAAATCCCAGGGCAAGGGAGGAGCGAAGTCCTACGCTAGCCTTTGTAGTAGGACACCACTCACCCATTTCTAGGCTGAGCCTAGCCTAGGCCCAAGAGAAGAATATCAATTAACAGAAGGCAGCTGCTCTGCATAAACTGTTTTGATCTGAAGCATTTATAAATAGATCAGATCAATAACAGAAGCGTCTGATGCAAGACGCTCCGTCCCACCACAACTCTAGCAGTGCTCCGTGATGAGCAGGGACAGCGTAACACCCTGCGCAACATCCTGCCCAGGGCAGAAGCAGGAGAGCAAAGCCTCAGGCCTACGGCAGGGCCCCTCCACCGAGGAGCGCGAGGTAAGGGAAATATTAATACAGTGCTTAAGGCTTCGCTGGGGATTGCATACACCTCTCCACAAGCTGCTGAGCTTGCAGGTCGCCTGAGACGTTACGTCGAGTGCTGACGAAGTTGGCAGCACGTTCTTTGATGAGGTGCAAGGAAAGGCCACTTGGCTCCAAGGCAAGTTTTTCCAGTGACAAGCCTGAAAATGCCAAGGGAACTAATGTTTCACTCCAGCTCCTCCCAAAAGAAGCCTCTCGGGTTTTAATGCATCCCCTTTCCCCGCACGGTTCTTTGGAGACAGTAATCAGATTCCAAGCACGGCCAAGACTGCCAGTCGGGCTTCTCACGGCTGTCGAAGCAGGTTATGTTATTGTGAAAGTCAATGATTGGGATTTGCTGGAGTGACTAGCCACAAGTAGTTTTTTTGAGAGATCTCCCGTGTCAGCTTTTGGCCTAGGGCTGCTTTATTCAATTCTCAGAAGCCAACACAGCAGTCTTCAGGGCTGGGAGTTCAGCTGCTGCACTGCGCTTTGCTATTTGTCACCGAGCGCAGCACCAAATAACAGACCCAGTTCTATGTGGCTCAAAGGCACCATTTAGATTATATACTTCCCGGGGAAAAAAGCCCACATGCACCCAAAAAACCCTGTAACTCCCTAGCAGCCCTCGTGAAATTCAGTGGAAAGGGAAGGGAGAAAAGGGCGAGTGCAGGGTATGATCTTTGCCCCTAGGTTATCAGAAATTCAGCCATTTACCCAAACGGGGAGAAGGCTGGCCTGTACGTATCTTGAAGTCAACATAGCAGTCACCAAAATCTCAGCCTAAAGACCATCCCAATTCTTTCCAGCACAGTCAGTGCACTGAACTAGCTGTACTCTGTTCCACAAGAGGGATGAAGGTGACTTACATTTTTAGAGAAACACTGATAACGAGAATAGTTTCCAGCTATCTGGCCCTCGCCACATTACGAAATCATCTGTGCTCCTATTAAAGTTATTAGCAAAATCCTTTGCTCTCCTTTGAGATTCTGCACAACACATTTGGAACCAAAGGCAGTTTAAAACCACGGGTTTACTCCCCATGCACAGCACACGCTCCGCAAGAGCATGTTAAGAATTAGCCTTCCATTTCTACTCTGGGAACTAGAACTGCAATAGCAGGTCAGCCGGGGTGCATCTTTACCTGAGACTGTCTAACAAAGGATTTCATTTAAAGCCCGTGTTTCTGTGCTGCTCTTAAAGCCCAGGCAGACCCTTTACAGCCAGGCCTGGAGTCACTACAGAATTAACGATGAGCTAAAGGAGAAATGGGTAAGCGCACAGTATGGAGAGATGCTGTGTGTCAAAGGGAATACCAGGGAGGCCATAAACACAAACACAATCTCCTACCCTACCTGTCCCAGACCGGCTGCCCCCTGTAATATTACATTTATATAACATTTAATATAACATTTCATCGGAAAACAGCCTACGTCTGCTGCGTCACTCTCATTCCTAGTTTAGTGGAAGGTGGCAAGGACAGATTCCAGAGCAGGCAGAAGAGCCTCTAGCCTATCAGCACTGCAAGGCTTATTTCCGAGGAGCATCGAACAGGAGTACACGTGGAGAGATGCAAAGTGCTGCATGCCTGCAGGCAGACTGCTAGGCCCAGGCTGCTTGAGAGCAAAGCCACTCCGTGTGCCCCGAGACACCTTGTGAGACCATCAGGGAAGAACACACACATTTGACTGGATGCTCAGACTAACACGTTTCTTGAACACTAGGCCTAAACAGGCAAAATCGGAAGTTACTGATCTAAATGAGAGCAGGGAAATGAAAAGAAAGGTGAGTATGAAACTAAAATGAAGCTATCAAACACACTGAGAAGGTAGGAGAGTGATCGAAAGCACTGTGAGGGAGCAGCTTAGAACCAACCTTTTTTCATTGGATGGTACAAATCCGGCTGAGGATCTAGCAGGAGGGAAAACAAAAACAAAAATAGCAGAGAAAGGAGATTAAGAGAGAAAGGAAAAAAGGCTTGCGCATGATTTCTGACTCAGACCCTGGGAAAAGCTTTTAGTCTACAGCTTTCTTTAAGCTCAGGACTCTGTTCAAGCATTTGCAGAATAAAAACACACGCACACACCAGCTGTCAACACCCGATGAGACCAAAAAAAAATATTTTTTTTAAAATAAAGAGAACTCCTGCAGCCCTTCAGCAGGTCACGGCACAAAGACTTAACGTGACACAAGAGGGTTTTGGTTAGAGACGGAAAATTAATTCCGGCGTCAAGCCACACCGTAAAAATTTAACACTCGCTGCAAAAGGAAAAGAGAGACAACAGTTTTGCAGAGAGAAGAATGGGAAAATCAAGCCAGCAGCTCAGTGCAAATTCCTGGCAGCACTGCCTGTTTCCAATGGTCAGAGGCTGAGGAGTGCTGCTGGGTGGCTGCTCTACTTTGGAATCACCCAACGGTGATTTCTGTTCCACCGAGGAAAAGCACCTACGCCCTGTAAAGCTGGTGAACCCAGTTTTCAGTTCCACGTACCTTCACTTTCAGGCAAGGCTGGGAAGGTTTTCACCTGGAACGGACGGAAAGGTTTGCCCTCCAAGGGAATTTCTTCGCTCTCCTCAGAGCTCACTCTGACATCCACCTGGGACTCGGAAATGGAGGATGTGAACTGATCCATGTCGGCGCGTTGCTCCTGAAGCAGCTCATCTGAAAGGAATGAGAGGAAGTAGTGCACCACCTGCATGAAGCCTGGCAGGAACAGAAAGGGGCAGATGGTTTGAACCTAGCCAAGGCAAGGCTGCAGGGGAAGGCTGCCAGGTTATCTCCTCTTGCATGTGCCCAAGTCTCATCGGGAATTCTAAAGCAAAGGCATCGACTAGAAATACACTCCAATAAGAGCCAAGAGGTGTGATGCGGCAAGAGGCTTCGGCAAGATGGGATAAACTCTTATAAAGCAGGAAAGCACCTGCTTATTTTCATGGATTTTTTCCATCTCTTCGAGAGACAGCTTTGCTATTCTGAATGTTGCTGATTTTTGTTAAACAGACAGTGAAAGTTCCTAGGAACAAGCTGTTCTGGCTGGCTGCAAAACCCAGAGACTATCTGCCCTTCAGCACTGAAGCCAAAGCCCAAGCACTTAGTGTGGAGGGCATCCCCTCCGAGGAGCTAGCAGCCTTTCCGAAGCCCACTGCGTTTGATAGAAAAGCTCGTAGTAACACAGTGGCACGGGAGCTGGCACACGGAGACACTCACCAATCTCATCCTGGATCTCTTCAGCCACATACGGCACCTTGTAGAGCAGAGACAAGCTTTGATTCATCCGCTCCTCAATCACATGGAGATGCGTCATCACCTGCAAACGTACAAGGCTGTGTTGGAGCAGGCAAAGACCGTCAGGCACTTGGTGGGCACCAGTACATCGCAGGTTTTATAAAATATCTGCTGCTGGTGAATCTGCCGTGACAGCCAACAGAGTAGGCCACGGGTCCAACCAGTCCTGTTCTCTGATGGTCTCTAAGACATCAAGATTCACTGGAACTGGCCATTTGTACATGGCGCTCTTGGTATTTTGGGAAAGGCTGGGAGCGAGAGAGAGGAAACAGCTGACTCTTGCTGTAACCACTGGAAACACCGAAGCTGGTGTTTTCCACATGCCAGGTACAGCCATAATTCATTTCCTGCAGCAGCTACAAGCAAGTGCTTTATTGAACGGATTATCATTCCTGACTACTAGAAAAGGCACAGGCAAAGGGAACAGACAGTCTTATTTATCAATTCTGGCTTCAGAACAAAGGTGCCTTTCAGATCAACGGTGGCATTACATTTGTCTCACACCCACTACGCACACCCACTGGCAACAGCGTTCTCCCTACGCTTGTGAAATAAATTCAAGCCCTACACAACCTCTAATCGCAGTTCCCCGGCATATCAAATCCACTGATGAAGTCAAGCCTGACCTGAAGAGGGTGCTGCATAATCAGAGATCACAGGGACCAAGAAAAACACTTATATGGATGGCCAGATGCTGGAAAAAGCTAAGGAGTTGAATGGGCCTGTTTTACAGTCTGCTGTGTACCTGACCTTTAAGAGCAAGGATGAAAGCAATTTAATTTTACATGTGGCAGCTTGTCAATCAAGCGAATCGATTGAGGAGCTTAAAGTGCATCTGAAAAGCAAAGCGAATGGAAATTGAACTGTACCACCCACGTCCCTCGCACGTCGATTTGTTGACACTGCAGCCCTCAGAATGAATTAAGGACTGCTTAGGTTTTAGCTCAAGAACACAGTTCACGCACTCCCTCGTGGGCTTCGGCAGCATCAGCGCGAAGGGGCACGGCAGCCTGCGCTTGACATGCTCAGCCCTCTCCAACAACGCTACCAAATATTCCGCCTCACAGGCCAAGCATCAGCTTGCAAACACCACAACTGCCACCGCGCTCTCTGCCTAGGCGCAGCCTAGCGAGAATCACCGAATCGGCAGCAGCCAACCCCACAGCCAGGAGCTGAAGGCAGACCTCACGGTGTCAACAGGCCGCTCTTAATTCCCATCTGAGGCCTTTCATACATCTTTCACCATTTTAAATGTGGGTTGTAAAAATAAGTATCAGGGTGTAATTCTAAAGGTCTGTGAAATATCTGCAGCTACTCCTACAACAGTCAGGTTTGACATCCACTTGAAGCAGCCTATTCACATACATTACCTGGCAGAAGGAAAATGACTTTCTGGCTATTTGGGAGGAAATATCACAACAGCACACAAACTCATCAACACAGACTTTCTAATAAAGCTGACGACGACAACCAAGTGCTTGGCAAAGGTTATGCATTCCACAGTAACTCTACAGAGGCACAAGAGAATTCCCACAAACCTAAAACACAGGCATCATGAAGAACAAGCCTCATGAAAGGAACACACAGACAAGGTCTTGGAAGAAGCAAGGAACTCTGTTCAAGGATGACCAAGCCCCCAGCAAATGAGTTTCAAGGGTGTTTGACAAAAGGAAAAAGAACCCACAAAAATGATACCGAACTAGTTCTAAACTTGTCATTGTGACCACCAGTAATGCACATATAAACCACAGTTCCTGGAGAAGAGGAGGCTCCGGGGAGACCTTATTGCAGCCTTCCAGTGCCTGAAGGGGCTATAAGGAAACTGGGGGGGGGACTTTTTACAAGGGTCTGTAGTGCCAGGACAAGGGGTAACGGGTTTAAATTGAAAGTGGGGAGGTTTAGATTAGATATGAGGAAGAAGTTCTTCCTGGAGAGGGTGGGGAGGCACTGGGACAGGTTGCCCAGAGAAGCTGTGGATGCCCCATCCCTGGGAGTGTCCAAGGCCAGGCTGGATGAGGCTTGGAGCAACCTGGTCTAGTGGAAGGTGTCTCTGCCCAAGGCAGGAGGTGGGACTGGATGATCCTGAAGGTCCCTTTCAACCCAAACCAGTCTGTGGTTCTCTGATTCTCATACCTGAGACTTCATCTGTGCAGCCTTTTCTGGGTCAACCGCCAGGACGTGCTGGTAATGGCGGATGGTGTGCAGACGGTCCTTGTTCTCCGCACGAACGTAGCGCTTCAAAGCTTGCAGGATGCGGTGGGGCTGCGGGATTTGAAGAGGGGAAGAGTTCAAACCCATTGGATTCAAATAAAGTTCACAGCAGAAATACTGCACTTCAGACGCGAGCCTGCTTTGTTACCGGACAGATCCATTGTCTGCATTAACCTCTTAGGTATTTTCTTTTTAAATTGAGCCTGTGTGACTGGGAACACTGTGCCTTATGAACACTACACAAAGCGAGGCTTTTGTAACAAGGCAGAAAGTAAAATGAGTCAATTAGGATATCCACTGTCAGGCATTGAGCACAAACTGCCATGATGGAGAAAGCTTTACTGGGAACTTATCACCAGCTCTGGCCCTGGCAGGTTGCAGGCAGTCCTCCCTCCATGCCGTTCCCACCTTCCCCCCACCTGGAGCTACCCCGCTGTGAAAACTCATCGTGAGGAGCCTCACCCGCGGCGGGTCAGCCTGCAGCGCAGCCAGGTAATTCTCCAGAGCAATGCGACGGCGATCGTTCAGCATGGCTTCCACACGAGCCAGGTGAGTTTCCACAAGCTGCTGCTTCTCACTGGCTGCCTCTTTCTCCAGAGATTTAACCATTGCTTGGAAGTGCTGGAACAGAAAAAGGAGACTGCATGAAACATGCTGTGTGCATCAGGGTCACCTACTGTCACTCACAAAACTCCTTAGAACAAATGGAGCCTGGCACACTCCATGTCCTGGGATTTACACCGTAGGAGAGCAGGGCACTGCGAAATGTTGATGCAGACTTCATCTCTGCAAACTCAATAGTGACAATGTGCCTTCCCAACCCCTTTCAAAGCTCTGTAGAGGGCTTTGCCAATAAAGATCCAGACTGTGCTGAACAAATGACACAGTATTATGTCTTCCCTTTGACCCTGCAATATGGAAACAGGATAGATTTCTCCAGCCCAGAGCAAATTTGATTTTGCAGCAGTATTGCATAGGGGATTTTTCATCAGCACACCTCCAGATCACATCTTTATATATTCTATTTGAAAGGTCATAACCCACATCTCCAAATGAACCAAAAAAGTCCATTAAGTGTGGTTATGTTTCAACAGGGATGATGAAGACAAATTCTTCTGGAGTTCAATATCTTTCCAAACAGTGGCTTACATTAAAAAACAGAGAGAGAAAACTGAGTTGCAGGAAAAATCCAGGCTTAAAAGCTAGTCAGTCACTTAGTCTGAGGGAATGTCATACAGTTGTCACTGCCAGAAGAGCCTGCCCCTAACAATCTCATACCAGGACTATCCCTGATTAACTGCATCCTCTAACCAAACGCGCCTCCTAAGGCACAAGACTGGCATCTGGGCAGCAACCCAGCTTTATTTGCTGCCTCAGTGGTTTCCACTAAGGCTGCCCAAACAGGAAACGTGTGTCCAGAGAGTCAGAGCCAACCCCAACTGGGCTGCGAGGCCACTGGTTAGTGCAAAACAGGCCAAAGGTCTGGAGTTACAATTTGGCTCTGCTGTTGCTACGCTCGAGGGGTGAGACCGCTTCCTACTACAGGGCTTCGGAAAGGACCCAGCACAGTATGGGATCATCTCCAGCTTTAAGAACAAAGCACGCGATTGAATCCAATCTCCTCTAAAAGGCAGGTGTTGACAGAACAGGAAAGCTGTGCTTCCACCTCAGTCATCTTCTGGCTTTGAATATCAGCATCTCTCATTTAGTTTACTGCGAAGACCAAGGCCAAGCACCAGTAGCTGTCTGCCTTAGGTCCTCGAACTCTTACCTGAATGAGAGTCTGTCTTTCCGCCTTGGGCAGATTAACGGCCTGGTGTTCCGCTTCCTCCCATTCCTTTTTCACCTGGACAAGAAAAGGACAGAACACATCAACAAGACACAAAGTTATATCTGATCGTTGGGGGCTAATTTGCCTTCACAGGTGGATCCTTGTACAGCCCCGTAGGTTTTGAAGGCACAAAAGGGCTGATGCAGGGGCTAAACCTAGCACTTCAGGCCTCCGAGCAGCAAGCCAAGTGACCCCAGTGATTCTCCTCTCCCAGCACTCTCAAGAAATGAAAACTAACTGCCACAGCACGGTCACGTCGCGAGAGACCCAAAGGCAGCTTGGAGACTGGAAAGGGAGTCAGCTCGCCATCCATTTGTCCCAAAAGGCACGGGCAGCAGCCATGCAGCACAGAAGACCAACAGCAGACGCTCACCCGGTCCATGCGGTTGTGGTGCCTGACCTCCAGCTGCTCCTTCGCCTTCTGGAAGCGGGCATGTTCATTGTCATCAGCTGGGGTTTCAAAGTAGACATCCACATCATCGGTTGGCACTGCAAAGGGAGGGTAAGGATCAGCGGAGCTTCGGCACACTGCATTGCAAAGGGCAGGTAGGGAGAGGAATCTCCACGCCTGCATAATTAACAATCTGGCAGGCCGAGTTCACTGAACTGCCACCTAACACGAGTCCGTTTTGGTATATTTAAGCCAACAATTTACTGCACATCAGTTAGTTACATCATCCCGACAACACAGCAATGCACTGCGGCACCCAGCACCTGCTCGGTCTTCGCCCGAGTTGTGAGCGAGCATTATTCAGCGCCAGCAACAGAACGGACTTGGATGGCAGAACAAAGAACTCGTTTTCTCATCCCTTTCACATTGGCTTGGGATAGTTTAAATGACGTTTTGTGCATTAGCTGTTCGCTGACAAGTTGGCTCCAGACATCGTTAATATGATTAGGGAGCTCAACAATAAATCTGCACACAACGCTGCCCAATATTTTACACTTCAAACCTACCTTCCCTTCCAGAGGCACCATGCAGGACTCACAGGCAATGGTATTAGACAAGACAACAACAGAAGGGGGCTCAGTGTGACCGACTGGCTCGCCCAATAGACCGGACGGCTTGTGTCTTTAAGACATTCGATTCCAGCAAGGGGAGAATTACGATTCCAGAACTGACAATTTCAAGCATCTGCAAAATCCACAACAGGGCCTCCGTACTCCATACGCTGCACTTAGGGAAACGCGGAACCCCGTTCCCATGCTGCAGTTTTAGAGGCTGCACATCCCAGAGCCCTTTCTGAAAAGATCCGCGGCAAACGTGATGCACTCCGCCGGTGCCCTTCAGCAGACAGAGGGCAGAGAGGGAAAGTTAAGGCAACCTTTCAACCACCTCACTTATTTGGGTGGGAAAAAAAACCCTCCATCACAGACAGACAGCATGCTTCAGCACAAAATTTACCTGGCAGTTCAGCATGACCAACGGGGTCAGAGTTTAGCATGCACCTGCATCCACGAACCTTTACTCTAACCAGGGAAGGAGGACGGAAGAAGGGGAAAGAATGACTGCATGGAATAATGGCAACACACAACACAGGCTTCGTTGTTGCGTTCCAGGGACAACGCCAGATCGGTACTGTATTCTGGGCCTGCTTGTGGCATTTCTGAACCAGGCTCGGACACTGAGAACTCTTTCCAGCCCCAAATCCCTCTGAAGCAGGACAAACTTCTGCACAAAAAGCTCCTGACATCCGCATCTTTTATTTCACCACTTCAGTTATATCAGCCCCATCTAAGGCGTTTGCATGAAGCCCATTTTGTAAACAGGATTATGGCCGTGTAGTCAGACTGCCAAGCCCCAGATAACACAAAAAGCCTTTCAAAAGGCTTTAATGGTAGCTGAAGTGGAAGTGCTGGAGTTCAACAATAAGATTAATAAGGAGGTTAAAATGTTTTTGGTAGTTTTATCATCTGACATAAAAGCCAGTTGAAATTGGTGCCAAAAACCTCAAGCTCTCAAAACCGTGAGGATTGAGTCATGATTCATATTTCAAACCAAGCTGAAAGTGGGAATCTCAACTCTATACTACTTCTGTGCTATTTCCCCAAAATACAATAGCAAGAAAACACCTACTACCAGGAGAACGGCCAACAGCAGCCTGCTTTTCAGGACGGGCTCGTCAAACATACGCACGGTAACATGACTGAGGAAAGTGAGCGCTCCCTTCCATACACTTGGGGAAAAAGCCAGTTACGCCAACAAGCAAGCTGTGTGCTTTCACCAGACGTTAAGAGACAGCCCCTGATCCCTGCCACAGATCCGGAAGAGGACAACTGAGCCCTTTGCGAGAGCTGCAAGCCAACGGTGAGCACGGTGTGAGCTGCTTTCCCCAGGAAAGTTCACCCTGAAGACCTCAAGAAGCAGAGACAAGAGGAGACTGCTGCGGAAGGACAGACAGAACTGCTGCAGACACCAGAACCAAGAGGATGAGCTACAGACACATCCTCTCTTGACCCAAGGCAAGGAGGAGACACCACACACCAGACAGACAGTGGCTAGCTGCAAAAAGGGCCAGTGGGAGGCAGGACTTACTCATCTTTTTACACACAGCCATACAATACTCCTCTGACTCAAAATTGTTCCTGTTGCCTCCGCAGCCTCCATATATAAAGCGAATGCATTTTCTCTTGTTAGGGTCGAAGTACCAACGAGGCATCACAGCCCGGCAGGGCCCTGTCATCGCCTCCTGGGAGCAGACAGCTGTGTGGAGATGGGTTAGAACATCAGCTAGTGAGGAGCACAGGCCTTGTCGAACGACCAACAGAGAAAGCAGCGGTGGCTCTAGTTCACACCTCCTTCTGGAGCACTAGCGCTGGCCTCAGCATCACTACTTCAGTGACTCAAGGGCTGTTGTTGGTTTTGGGGGGGGATTTTTAACATCACCAAGCACCCACCACCAAGCCTGCCAGCGCTTTTCAGCCTGCATGTGGTGCTTTGGAGCGAACAGGCTACCTGAGAAGGTATCCCGACACGGAACTCTCATCTGCAAGAGTGATTTCTCCTTAGCTAGAGGCTGAAACAGCAAGGATCTAGTTTGCTGGTGTCACAGCGTTACGCCTCGGGTGTCCCAGCGGTAGAGCCTCCACTGCACAAAACCCAACACGACGGAAAGAAAACCCATTAGGGCTGCTTATAGCATTCAAAGATGTCCTGTTCTGCTGCACTCCACCTGGGTAGACACTTCACATCTCAAAGGTGAGGCGTAAGAGCAAGCGAAAAGGCAGGCTAAGCAAAAGAAATGTGATCGCCATGGCAATCACCGCCGCTAGGTTTTCACGTTTTAGAAACATCTATATGCTAAATATCGAAACCCCAGCGAGCCACGGGACGTGGACTGCTTCACGATAAGCGGGCAACATAAGCGGCTGGGTTATTTTGAGGCAAGAGAACAGAGGTCTGCGTAAGTTAGCAACTGTTTACGGTACTTGGGGGGAAAAAAGACTGCGCACCACCAAAACAGACACCCCAATCATACTGTTCCAATTCTGTTTCAACGCCCGCAGATCTCTAACAGTCCTGCACATATACGAGCTGAGCCTTGTTTCAGCAAGTAAAATTATCTGCAGCATGCTGGCATTTTACCAAAAAGCTGCAAGAACTGCTGGCAATGATTCAGTGATCTGTAGCTAATTGAATTTCATTCCCTCTCCCCTCCTCCCTCCTCTGCAGACGCTTCGACATGCGAAGTACAGGATGTGATATAACACTGAGGCACCACGCAAGCGGCGGATGCCCTCTGCAATGGCACCTACCACTTAACACAGGCAAGTATAGTATATATTACTCCTGCAATAAGTATATATTACTCATACCGTAACAGTGGGCCAAGTGTGTTGGCTGACTTTCTTTGACTAAAGAGAAGGATTTATGCAAAGGTTATTACAGCAGCACTATCTTCCTCACCCTTAAAGGGACAGATGGGACCTTTGTGCCACCTCGGTAGAGTGTGGCGCCCCCACTTAGGCCTACTAAACTGGCAGAAAACCCCAAGGTAATCACCCAAACCTACAGATTTAAATTCTTAGTGTAAGCCAAACGCCTCTGAGGTTTTTCCAAATGAGTCTATGCTGATCTGGTTCTGTGACTCAACACTCCACCTTCACGGAGGTGCTCGTTCAAAGTGCCAAACACCGGGCTTTCTGCCAGCAGAAGTGCTGTTTACCCGGAAACAGATGGCCCATGCTCTAGAGAGTTAATTTCAACACTTGAAACAGAAGCACCATCAGCTTTCCTCTGTTTGCTAACTTATCTGGCAAATAAAACTTCCAAGTGGCATTTATTGACTTGATCAAAACCCCATCACCAACCGACAGCCAACAAGAACACTCCCGAGGAAGCAAGAGGCCGGTAGGCTGGAACGTGTCTTACATTTCATATCGCTGCTGACTTCTTTTTCGGAAACAGCCTTGTCGTTGCTAGGTTCTGTGGGGGTCTCTTCATTGTAATCATCAACTTTGTAGCTATCATAATAGTAATCACGGTCTTCCACCACATCTTCCTCCTCTTCCCCTTCATCATCCTCATCTTCCTCTTCCTCCACAGCTGTTCCTGTGAAGTCTTCGACACCTGCCTCTGTAGGGAACTCGCTGAAGGGATACAGGTAAGTTAGGGGGTGAAGTTAAGGCTAATCACTTTGCAGCCAACCTTTGAGACACCAGAATGACGACTCTCTCCATCTGTTCTGAGACACGAGATGGGAAAAAATAAACGTACCAACTATTGATCAGCCCCTCAAGGGCAGCAACGGGACTTCCCTCACTACAGGCACCGGCTGGTGCAGGCAGAGCTTTGCCATGCCTCTGGCTTGGTGGGCTTGCCCTGCATTTCCTCATCGGCTGCTTTACAGTAAGCAAAAGCCTGCCCTACGTGGGGGAGGTGACAGTCTTTTTGACTGGCTAAGGAAGAAGGGAGGGTAGCTGTGTAGTTGTCCAGGAACAGAAGCACTGCACAACTGCTTGTCCTTCCTTTTTCAGGTTCAGGACACTCCTTCAGGAAATTCAGAAGTACAGGAATTCTCCTCTCCATCCTCACTGTAAGGGAGCTGCTGCGTGAAATACTCACAGACAGCAATTTCACACACAGAGCTGTGGACATCTATGACAATAAGAACCCTACCTCTTATAAAGGTCATAGTCTTCATCCTCATCTTCATCCTCTTCCTCTTTGGACAGAGCCTCATCCACAACCTTTGTCTGAGGACAACATACATATTCTGTTCCATGGAACTTGTCTATTCCGCAGGGCAGCAGCATGCCGTAGCTGTGCAGGATCATCCCTTCCGTCAGACAGGCCTGAAAGAGAAGTCCATTTGTGTCAGCACAGCACTGTGCTCTTGGCTTTCGATAAAGCTGATGTTTGCCTACCGTAGAGCCTGAGGATGCTACCAACAGTCTACACTGTACACCAAAAAGGCCAACAACAACACACGACACAAGGCAAAAAACATTTACATCAAAGCAAAACGGATTTGAAACTTGTAGCTTAAGCAAGATGTTCAGACAAGTCTCAGATTCGGAGCCGCGTGGTGCGTTCTGGTGTCAACGTACCGAACGCCCCCTAACAACCACCAACGTGTCAGCCCGGCTAAGTTCCAGAGAAATAACTACATGTGTGGTGCCAACTGAAGGCAGAGAGCACTTGAACGCAACAGAACTCCTGTTTGCTCTTCTGGGCTGGCCATTTCATTAAACTTTATCAAACTTTACGCTGGAGTAAGTGAATAATCGCTCCAACGGACTGTGTGTCAAGATTATTTTAACACGCTGTAGATGAAAAATCAACCAGATAATTCAAGAAAAAGCTAAATGCAAACTGTGATCAGACATTGTGTCTACGCACTTCTCTTAAGCTAAGGAAATACGCGGCTTTGCAGTGCCCCAGGAAAGAATGAAATAAGAAAGGCTTTATTATGTACATCAGAACCCTTCTGTGCTTTGCTTTGTTACAGCGTGGATGTAAAATGAGACAAATATTTCTCAAGAAGTTCTCCAACTACAGTGAAAGCAAGTGAATTTTATTATTTCCTAGGCATTTGCAAGTTTATCCTCAATGAAAAGGCCCTCTAGCACAGCTTTCTTGACAGGATGTTAAAGAAATAGGATGTTTAACCTCATCTTTACTAACACCATCACTAATCACTGTGCTGCTGTTCCTACAAAACGGAAAACATGGACACTCAGTTATGATCTCGGTTTTATTACCCCCAGCTGAAACAGGTGTGCAGAGAACTTGCAGCATTTCGCTAGTCAGATAAAAAAAAAAAACCCACATACAAAAAATCCATGGGCTAGATTTATTCTGAGAAGATAATCCATCTCTTATGTAAAACCTCCACTAATCAGTCACAGCAAAACTCAGATTGTCCCCGGGAAAGGCCTCCCAACCAAATCCCCAGCAGCAGCAGGTACTTTAATGCAAAATGTGCAAGCAAAATAGGAAACATCCTCTGACCACTGTAGATCCCTGGGAAGAAGGATGAGCCATTGGTTAAAGCAATATCCTAGAGACCCGATTTCAACTCCTGGCTCCATCCTGGAGCACGGTTTTGGGCAAGCTCCTTAGGACAGCTTTTCATGAGTGAAGTCCGCTAGCTACGCAGAGGTTTTTTTAAGTGCACTAGCATTTTCCTTGCTCTCTGCCTCAGTCCACAGACTCTAACATGGGAATAACAGACCCCAGAGAGAAACCGTTATGCTCCAATACTACAAGCACCCACGTGGACAGATCCAGAATAAACAACCCCACCGCAGCAGCTCCGTCACCTCTTTTGCTACGGTGTGCCAGTGCTGATGGCTTTCACACACATCCATCCGCTCCTTGTGGAAGAATCGGCACTTCTCCGGAACCAGCAAGACATCGCTTACAAACTCACCCACTGGAAAAGAAGAAACATCTAGAGTTCACTCATCCCATCACCCGCATCCAACTTCCAACAGAAAACCCACAACTCCCAAGGTACACTTGGTTGCAAGTGCCTCAAAGGCTGGGCGTATTCTTAACAGGACAGGTACCTGCAAAATTACAGAAAAACAGAGCCTTGGAGGTAATAAATAGTTGCTTATGGAACAGGTGGGACTGACTTGAAGAGATTCCACACAAATCTTTGCAAAGATTGCATCTGCTTATGCAAGTTTTCAACCCAAATTTCTAAAAGAGCTGCATCATACCCAAGCTAGCGCATGCTGTCTGGTGCTGTAACAGCCTGGAAATTTTTACATGTCACGAGTGTTACCCATGTTTTCAGGTCTCTGGGTATCTGAGCAAGTCTTGTTTGGTTTTGTCTTCTTTCCACATGGTTTAATTCAGGATCAACCACAGCACATTCCCTGACATGGACAGTCCTAACCAAAACACAGAGGGCTGGAAAAATAAAAACTCTACAGCCCAAGAAACAGCCAACAACCAGAGTCAGCGAATACGCTGCATTCCAACATGTAGACAACCACAACCTCACCACCAGCAGGATGAAGCTTTGGCACATCTGAAAAATATACTTTTGCTTTTGAGGAAGGCGGGAGAAAGAAAGATTCAGTCTGCTCCACAGACTCTGTAGTAGCTGGGCTTAAAAGCTATTTAGCCTAAATTTCCAGCTCAACTCAGTTTGGTCCCAACACACGTATCAGAACTACGTGAACATCACTTTCTGTCCCCAGCCCAGAAGCCCTAACAAAAGCTGTCACTGGAATCCAAAGTGGGAAATTTTCTCCAAGTTGAGATTTTTCTTTCTTTCTTGACAATTTAAATGTCACATCCAGTAATTTTAAAATAAGGCAATAGCTAGGTACTCTGAGAGGACCAGGAAAAGATCTTCAGCCCAGGAGTTTCAAAGCAAACTACCTTGCCCCCATGACCAGCAGCTTTAGGAATCATTTGTTAAAACTGGCAAAAAGTTTAAGGCAAAGGCCTTTTCTTACAGGGTCTCCAGGGAGCAGAATTATTTGTCCAACCAATCTTCAACACTACATTTTCAAAATCTTGCATGACCAATGTTTTTGTAGCCCCTTGATACCAAAGGCTCATGGACACTTCTGCAGAGTGTACACAAGTTAAGTAGAGTTGAGGGATAGATTAGCTGATGGCAATGATAATTATATCAACTAGCATTCATCACCACGTTTCAGTGAGTTAAATTTTAAGTAGACACAAGAGAGAAGTGATATTTTCCCCGTTTCCTTTAGTCAAAACAGGCCAGATGGAATTTTGAGTTAATCATCTTCCCTCCTTCCCTCTCAGGAAAGGTTTAAATGTTTCTGATAAGAAAGTTAAAACTGGCCAAACTTGAAAATCAAGAGACTGTGGCTCTGGGGACTGAAGGCATAAGACTCGAGCTGATGGGACACAATAATCATTAACTAGCAGCAGCCATTACACAGCTATTTTGAAAACCACAAGACATAGGCAACCTTCTCCCAATTCACCGAGGAACTGGAAAACCCTTACACGTTAATGGACACTTTCCCCGCTGTCAAAAGAGAAAAATCCTCTCCCTCTGCAGATGTGAGCAGGCATAGGAGATGTTTCCATGCCACCCAGCAGCTTAGCCAAGAGCTGTCAGCAGTTTGTCTCTTCACACCTCAGCAGGCTCAGCCCCGCTCCCATCAGCCTATTGTTACCTTTACTTTACAGTTCAGTGAGAGTGCTAATGCGTTCTCCTCTCCCCCCTCTTCACCTTTGAAATACGAAAGAGCTTTTCTTCGTAGGGGAAGGCAGAAGCAGGCTGAACTGGGGGTGAGAGCAAGATCCTACCCCAAGGTAGTCTGTGCCTTAATGCAGCAAGGAAGGCACCAGCAGGCATGGGGCCAAGAGAAAACCTCCTTCGACTGCGATCAGGAAGTTACACGCACGCCGAGAAACGCACCCTCCGTTTACAACCAGCAGTTTGAAGACAATCAGAGGGTATTTGGTACACGCAGGGGCTACTGACTAGCAACTCGGATCTGAAAACCAAAGCTGCCTTGCAGGCTGGGCTCTACAAGCCAGGAACACTGCAAGAGTCACTAATTAAAAAACTTTAACAGATAGTTTAATGCTTATCAAATTTTAGGGCAGTGTCACTAAAATCAGCTTATTTTTCAGCTGGAGAATGAGCTTGGGGGAGGATTATTGCTAAGCTCGGGGGAGGATTATTTCTAAAAGAGATGACTCCTTATAAACCCAGAGATCGTGCGTTCATCCTTGTTTCCATTCGGAGTTCTCGGTGTAACCAGCTGGGTTCAGTTGCTCCTAAACCTGACCTTCCACATCCGTACAGAGATGCACTCTCTTCCCAGGATGGAGCCACACCGAAACTGCTTTATGATCGCCTGGTGGAAGTTATTACACATGTAGGCCAAAGTACCCAGACGGTTCTGCAGATCTGCCATGCCAAATCGCAGTGTGCTAACCTGAGATAAGGACACAAATGACAGAAACTGGTTCCCACTGAAGCCTCCCAGCAGTCTGACTCCCCGAGACTGCACAAGACTTCTTACCAAACAAGCCTTTCCAGTGGATAACCGAAAAGAGATGCAGCCAGCTGAGACTAAGCTTGCAACTAAGAACACACGCAGTGTTCAGGCACAACCCACAGGTCAAAAACCACAAGGTAAACCAGCTAAACACATTGCTTGATTCAAAGGGGGTGGGTACAGTCTGGAAAGCACCATGAAATCCACCACAGTTTATCTCAGTCCTTCCCAGTTCAAAGGACATGGGATACAGCTGCAAGAAGCAGGGCCTCTTTGAAACAGCAAAGTTTAAATATAGTCATCGAGAGAGAATAGAGATCTCTTGCCAAGACCAAAGCAGGAAGCCTGAACACACTGAGCATTTAAGTCTCCAAGGCAACAAAATATTAAAGCTCCACAAAAATAGGATCAGAGTATTAAATCCCAATGTCTTTGTGATACTCAAATACAATAGCCTTCAGGTTTTTATGGCAGTGGCAGAGAGAATGGGGATCTCTTTTTCACGCCAGGCACCATTATTCCACCACAGCTGTTATCAAGCCGTTGATCTCTTCGGGAAAGGCCGAGTTCCATCTTGTGGAAATAAAAACGTTTAAGGGGAAGTTGGAGATGGAAATGGCAACGTGATATGAGAGAAGCCTTATGACCTCAGTCCTCTCCAAGAGAATCCAGGAGGCAATTCTTTGCTCCTCCCACAAGAACACAAACACGCACTCACCCAGGCACTTGTAGGGCACGACAATGTGAGTGTGGTCCTTGCACTGTTTCTTCCCTCTCTTGCACCAACTGTCGATGCTGACAGGTTGATTGGCTTCCACAACGTTGGTAATCTGAAGGTCTGGATACATCTGTTTAACAAGACACAGAGACAGGTTTCTCTCCAGAAAGTACAAAGAATTCGCAATGTGGCTCCTTCACAGAAGTAGCAGAGTTGATTCTCTACACAAAAACATCTTCAAATTTGCATGTGGACACACATTCTCTTCTGGATCAAGCTTACAACAGCTGAAGACATAAAGAAAAGCCCCCAGCTGTCTGCCACACAAGGGCTTGGGAAATGGAATGTGTCATCATTTCTTTGTGGCAGGAGGAAGCCAGGTCACGAGCAAGAGCCTTTGCTGGCACTGAGCTGAGGTGTCTGGCTTTGCATGGCAGGGGAGGCGAAGTATTTATCAGTTCTATTCTGTCTGGTGCAGCTCAATACCCTCTGGAAGAGGGCGATCACCCAGATAGGGTTTAGTAACTGACAGAATCATAGAAGGGTTTGGGTTGGAAGGGACCTTAAAGACCATCTAATTCCAACCCCCCTGCCATGGGCAGGGACACCTTCCATAGCCCAGGTCGCTCCAAGCCTCATCCAGCCTGGCCTTGGACACTTCCAGGGATGGGGCATCCACAGCTTCTCTGGGCAACCTGTCCCAGTGCCTCCCCACCCTCTCCGGGAAGAACTTCTTCCTGATATCCAATCTAAACCTCCCCACTTACAATTTAAACCCGTTACCTGTCACTGCAGGCCCTTGTAAACAGTCCCTCCCAGCTTCCTTGTAGCCCCCTTCAGGTACTGAAGGCTGCAATAAGGTTTCCCTGGAGCCTTGTCAAGCTACTATGCACCTACCTCCTCAGGTTTCCTTATGCCTACTCCATTTATGATGTATTAATATGATCCCTATGCCCTGCTCAAGTTCTCAAGTCCAGACACCAACTTATATTTAGGCTTCTTCTACGTGAACCAAATGGAGCCCTGGTTATATCAGCCTTGTAAGCCAGTTTTAACCATTTTTCAGTCCAGACATGGTGTGCTCTATCACCTTCCCATTAAAAAACCAAACCAAAACAACAACAAACCCAATCCATCAACATTCCTTGTGGTATTTTACATGCCTGTCACCTGAGAGGAGCAATTAAAGACACTTATCAAGGGCAATACCTCTCTGACTTAAAGACCAAGGACCTTCTGTGGCAGTGTAAGCCGATTTAAATCCTCAGAGGTAGCTCCTAATCCTGCTGCAGCATCCTCCCTGCTCTTCCTGGGCACTAACACAGCAAGACAGTTCAGGGAACTGACCTAGTCAAACGCAAGTTAGTCTCCTGCAGGGTTGATTTGTTACTGACGGGCTAAATTGGAATCCAATTCCTTAGCAGCAGCAAAGATTGAGGATCACACAAAAATACTCACCTCCTGGCAGTATTGCAGAATCTCTTCCTTTCTTCCAAAGCAGCTCTTGGTCCCAGAAGTGTCAGGTTCCCATTTTCCAGTCTGGATATTCACATGCATATTTAGCTTCCCACAGAACATGGCAATTTGAGGTTCTGCCACCGCAAACCCTGTCCCGGCATTGGCTGCCAGCGCCTGTGAAGACAAACAAAACCCAAACACTGTTGATTGCTTTATCTGATCGAAAGCAGAACAACTCAAAAGAACCAGAAACCCCACTGGCATCTTCTCAGCAGGCTCAGGCTTAATCCAGGTATCAGTGGAGTCTTGCAAACTTATTTTGTAACCATATTCCTCCGAGCTGGTGAGCCCACACCAAGTTTTCACCAGCCAGGTGTTTGTTTTTCCAAACTCTGTTTTTCTTACTGCAACAGCAGCTAACCAACACCAAGAGTAATTCAAGCTTAAAGGCTGCACCCACAAACAGATATCTGAAAATCTGTTTTGTTGAGGATAAATAAGTTGGGTTATTTATCAGTGACAGTATTTGAAGATAACTAATATGAATAACTTCTGGCAGAAACACCTCTGTGAGGTTACACACAAAGCAGCTATTGCTACTACTAAAAAGGTAGCTACTTCCAACTGCACAAAGCCTGCTCAGAGGTTAAAATTTCACCCGACATCTTCATGTATTTGGGACAGAAATACCTAAGCTTCTTGCCCAAACATGGTAGCAAAGATGACTTCTGCTGAATCAGAAAAACATTTGCAAGCAACTCCTCAAAGGCTGTAGTCTCTCATTCCGCTCACGCTCCTACGGCTATTTGCACCGCCTGGTTTCCGATGCGTATTCTGTGCGCTTCCCAGCCTGCACCAGCAGACAAAAACCCGACAACCCAGACCCACATTCGGGTCAAACTGCAGACTGATCAATGAAAACAAGGTCAGGTCCCCTTTCTGAAAGCTTGCTGGCTGACCAAAAGAAGAAAAAGGGGATTAAATTGAATTGCAGAGTTGGGGTTTTTCTGAACAGACTGAGTGGATGCTGGGAGCTGGACATCCTCTCCCCGCATAACTACTAGCTGTTGTAAAAGGAAAAAATAACACCAGAGGGATGAGGCAAAAAGCAGACGAGCTCCTGAATGGAAAGCTCTTTAAGGTGTTTAGGGGAATGAAATTCACTTCAGCTACTTCAGACAAGGCAGATGAGCACCCGGGCGCCACTGCACCTAAGCGTCTTCGTTCCTGGCCCACAGCACCACCCCAGGCCACCGCTCCTGCCCTCACATTTAACTTCTCAAGCACTCCAAAATGCGTATGTTGCTGCGGGCACTGTTCATTCCCTACTGCCTGCAGGTCCCCATCAACTTCTATCAGTATGTGTATGCTTGGAGTGAAGAGAAGAATTCACCTGGACAACCCCTGTGCACAGCTCCTGGTTACTGGATATTAGGAAAAAATTAACTGTTATAATTAGCTGGTTTCTCCCCCTCCCTGTTTACACACAAAATCACCACCTGGAGATAAGAGATTTCAACACTCAGAGTCAAGGATTGCTCAGTGCTGAGCACACGGTTGGTGCTCGGGGGATAAGACCCACCTGAGACACGAAAAGCATAGATTCACGCCTTAACCACTCGGCAAAACAAAGGCTCCTGCCCTACCCTTTCAGGAGGCAAAGGCAAATGTGGGACGTTCCTTCGTAACTTTGTACATACACACTCGCACAAACTTTGGAAGAGGGCCTTTTATCTCCCTCCAAACAAACAGCGCCCTAGGGTACCACCAAGCACTTTCCAGAGGGCACAAGACTTGACACGTTAAAGGAAACAATCCACAACGCCATTTCTTTCCATGACAACGCTATCCAGCTACACCCAAGATTCAAGCCAGACTCTGAAAAGAGCAGAAAGAAACACAAGATTGGGTACACAGAAAGCATTAACCCTTGCAAGAAGAATACGTTGCGTCTAAAGAGAGTAAAACGTACACGTTGAGTATGCTTTGGAGATCGTTAGCACTGCCTGTGCTTGCAATCCGCTCGCTTCGAAGCGGACTTGACAAGTATGCAGCAAAATAAGGTAACTGCCTCGGCGGGGGAGGCGCAGGCTCCATCCAGAGGCAGCCACATCCAGCAGTAATCCATCCGAAGCAGCTCTCGCATGAGCACAGCTCCTGTTCAAACACATACCAACCCCCTGAAATCATGACCGCCCCTATTTACATACTGCTGCGAGCTCCTGTTTATTTTTGCCGTCTCTCTGGCCTGACATCTCGGCGCTGTGGCAAAGGTATCCTTCCTCCTCCCTGGATTGCTTGGATAGTTTGGATATCAGCGGAGTGCTGTTGCCGTAGCTACCAGAACATGCTAAGCCCCAACTGACAGCTGAACAAACGAGACTAATTACTTGCTTGATTTCATCACTTTTAATCAAGCAGAAAAAAAATCTCTTCTCGAACTGCACCGTGGAGTAAGTTAACGGACTCTGATAGACACAAGTTGAAGCGTTAACCTCACGACCTGCAAGAGACCATCTGTGAGTCATGGGCTTCAATTTTTCACCACTGACAATCCACACCAGGCCCCGATCACATCAGGGGTTTAATTTAGCATTTTTATCTTGTTCTACCTGTAATGAGAGAATACCAACTTCATCTGTACCAGGGGAGACCACACCTTCAACTCTGTGACTTAAGTAGCCAAGAAAGCCACCCACAAGAGTTTTTGGGACAAAGTCAGTTGCTGTTGCTCCCCCACAACCACCTTCCATGTATCACAGATAAAGGCAGATCGCTCAGGCTGGCGAAGCCCGAGGTTCACCAGTTGACATTCAAGAACCATTTTGCAAAAGGAGGGTTGGGGAGCACGTAAAGCCAGCACGAAGCCCTGGATAAAGCTGTGTCCTTAGTTAAGCTGTTCAGTGCTTCCGGAGAATTCACCCATCCCACATTGCGGAGGGATGAGCATGCCAACAGTACGTTTTTTCTTTGGGAATTTCCCAACCATAAAAGGAAGCAGCCGCCTCTTTTAGTGCTGGGGAGCAACTACTCGGTCTCTTAAATAAACAGAGCAACAGCTCAGGAGGGACAACACGCACACAATGGAAAAGAGTTCATCCAGTTGTGTACATCCCCAGAGAACATTATTTTAGTAGTTATTATCCTATTAATATAGATCCATAAGGGGAGAGCAAGATGAATGTTATTTGGGAAAAGACTGTTACACAAATCATTACTTTCTTCGCTGGCACTTGCATTTACAAGATGTTTCATGACAAATTCCCCTCTGCCTTTTGGTATAATTCTGTATTCCAGTTTGCTTTCCAAGACCAAAGAAGTATTTGATTCCATAAACACATAAATCTCCAGCCAGTTAATGTCAGTTGAATTCCTCACCCTGTCATGTAGCGCCTGATTTATGGTCCCAAAACACTGGAATTCAAACCTCTAAATCTTCTTCTTCTGTGATCAAAATGTCTCTGCCCAAATATCCAGGTTTTCATTTACTATTAGCCTCTTCACCTTGCAACAGCAGGTTTGACAGGTGAGCTTTACCCATCCGGAGGCCTGGGCTCTACCCTCTAAAAAAGGGTCATGCCTTTTCTTCCCACAAGTATCTACCATCTCAAAGGAGGGATGCAAGGCTGGAGAGATTATGGGCACAGCACAACGACATACTCTGGGGAGGACTTTTTGTCAATTTAAGCTGTTTCTGCTCTCTAGTGTTCCCCTACCTCAATGCTGGGAACAATGGCGCGTAGGAATTCCTACCAGCTTACGTAAAGTAAGGCATATTTGACATCTACCCCCAAAATGTACGCACCACGCTGCAGTTGTGGTTCAAAAAGGCATAAAATGAAAAACACACTCATTTTCCTCGCCTGGTACTTCCAGGATCACAACACAGCTTATTGAGCATGCCGCCCATTCAGCTCCCTATCGAATGCCATTCAGGAAAGCCTTCTGGCACGCTGCTGGGGACGTCAGGAAACAAGGGTGCTTGGAGCTTCTCTTTTGTGAAGAGCTGCTGTTCACTCTATTTCACAGAAATGAGTTCCTGAGAGCTTTTCTTTACAGCACAAAGGTATGTGCCAAACAGCCAGCTTCACTACATTCCCAATTCTCCATGAGGTCAACCATTACGGTAGCCTTGCTCGTGTGCTCGGAGTAGCCAGAACATGGAGTCTTTATCCCAGCAAAACCAGAGCGGATGGGAGCTTCACAGGAGATCTTAGATTCACTTTTCATCCATACAAAAACATACCCCAAGCATACCGCTCTACAGAAAATCTAGGAATACACGCTACAGAATATCCCCGTCTCCCAGCTGACACGTTGGGTGCAACGTGGCAGCTACCAGGCACGTGCGCTCCCCGGCGCATGGGCACGACCGGAGACGTCACCCTGGTTACAGGGTGGCAAGGCTGGAGGAGTATCGAGAGCCTGCTAGGAAAAACTCATACTGCCCGTGCTTTCCATCAGGCTCCCTCTGCCATAATCCACGAGCAGCCCTAGCTGGATAAAACCATGGAATTTGCTTCGAAAGCAGGGCACAGCCTTTTGCAGGACTGCCCGCAGGTCGGAGCGGATTTCCTGCTCAGAAGGGTTACAAGAGTTCCACAACTGCTCACTGCTACAGTGACAAAACATGCCCGGCGCTACTCTGAAAGATCACTGGCGCTGTTTGTTTTTAATTAAGCAAAGCCCCACAAAAGTAATACTGCTTATTAAATCAGCACGCACGTGAACCACAACCTGAGCGGCTTCTGAACGTGCTGTTCAGCACAGTCCCCATCCAGATAAATTAAGCTTCCCACCTTTACTTAATTAAAGAAGGAAAAAAGAAAGAAAGCAGCTCTTCTGGAGTTCTTTTGGGTTTGAATACATTTCCTATTCCACCTCAGGCATCAGCACTGCAACCCCTCCTACACAAGTGGCAATCTCCACCGATACAGGGGATATAAGTTGGACTCTTTCAAGACCGCTGAGGAATTCTAACAGTTCCATCCTACAAAAATAAGTCTGGTTACCCCATCAGACTTCCCTTGACATTCGCTGCTTTTAAATGCGGATTTTAACTATTCACCCTTTCCTTGGCTGAAAAACTGGTACGCAGGGACTCTGCTTCGAAGCCCAGCTGCACACCCTACGGAGCTGGAGATCGTGGGCATTTCTTCTTCCATAAG